TGGGGCTCTTAGTGGAAGATCTCAGTGTAAGAAACCTGTCTTCACCTGAAGGCCATTGGAGGGGCTGTTCAATAAGGCACAAGCAAGGCCTTAAAGACAGTGGGGTTGCTCCACGAGGGTTGGGGAAATGCGGGGTGGGTCATCCTGGGTCTGAAACACTGCTCGGTAGCCCTGGCTCCATGGAGCATGTAAGTGTTCATCCCTCTGACATTCTCTTTACTTATCATAAATTGGGGATAGTAGGGTTGGTGAGAAAATTACATGAGATGCTGCAGTAAAGTGCTTAGTGCAGTCTCTGCCTTATAGAAGCAGTTATAGCAAAGTATGTAGAATATACCATTTATAAGAAGTTTTAAACTGTAGAGCAGAAAAGTTGGAATTTTATATCCTAATCTATTAACAGTGTAGATTTGGGGGTTGAGGGGAGGTGCTTGTACAGTGGGTGTAGGGAAGGAGAATCACTGAGAGGTTTTCTCCTTCTGCTTACACACTGTTGGAAAAAAGTTTTAAGTGACCATTGGTTCAATTTAAAATCATCAAAGCAGCCCTGGCCAGGTAGCTCAGTTGGTTAGAGCATTGTCCCGATATGCCAAGGTTGTGGGTTCGATCCCCTGTCAGGGCACATACAAGAATCAAACAATGAATGCATAAATAAGTGGAACAAAAATTGATGTTTCTCTCTCCCCCCCCTTCCTCTCTCTAAATAAATAAAATAAAATCACCAAAGCAATATATTTTCATTTTTTAAAAATCAAAAGAAACTATTGTGTATCCCTTGTTAACTGCCAGGGACCCAGACCAGACCAGAGAATCTTTAGAGCCTGAGGCCCTGCCCCACCCCTCTTAGCTGCCACTCCTACTGGCTGCCTGGATACCTCTCCCTCGCTAGACCTGTTGTTGCCTGCTGGGCTCTGTATCTTGTCAGCACATAGGGACTGTTTACTGTTCGTTCCTGTTCCCTGTCCCTGCCCCCCCTCTCCTGTGTGAGTCATTCTCCACCTCACTGCTTGGGGACTTTAAATCCGGGTGCCTTTCCTGTGGGGGGTGGGGAGAATCTGCTGGAGTGAAATTCATTCAACAAATGTTTATGGATAGCTTAGGTGATTGAGGAGGCCAAGGCTGGGTACCAAGAGGTGCTGTCCCAGCTCAGGGTGGGGTGGGGTGAAGCCGGGTGAGGTGGGGGTAGGGGCCACTGTAATGAGTATTTGAGGGGGAGGGAGAGCGGGGGAAGGCTAGTGGGGCTGAAAGGTAGGAGTAGAACCTGGCTCAACACTAGGTCATGGGCATTCGGAGCCAGGCCTGAAGGTCAGGGGACCCTCTGAGGCCTACAGCATCAGCTTGGGCCCCTTGACTCAGTTCCTCACATGGCTGACCTGCTCCAGCTGTGTGCCAGCGTCTCCCTCACTATACAGTCTCATCTCCAGACTGGCTGGAGGCTTTGGGACCCTTGGAAGACTTTGAGATTTCTTTTCATTTGTTCGCACTCTTCCTTGAGACCCTACCCTCGAGACCCAACTTCAATCCCACGCCTTTAGGAAGCTTCAGTCATTCCCTGAGCCCTTTGTGGGGCCCAGGGCCAGGTGCTGGGATGCCAAGCTGACTAGAACACTAGCTACAGAGCTCCTGGCTCGTCATCTAGGAGGAGCACCTGACTCAGCCTGGGGTGTTCTGGGAAGGCTTCCCAGAGGAGGTGACAAGTGTTTTGAAAAATGGGTAGACGTTCAAGATGAAGAAGAGTTTCCCTCTGTGTATGCACAGACGGGGTTTGGGGACTTCTGTCAACTGGAGGACAGTGTTAATGTGGATGGGACGTTAAGTGCCAAGGGTTAATCCTGAGCTTGACCAGCTCCCCGACTCTCGAATCCTGATCACAATGTACCTGCTCTGGAGCAGCCTCTCCTGCTAGGAATCCAAGAGGGTCCTGCCAGTCGCTGCATCATTGTGCTTATTGCTCTCAAGTCTTTTTGGCTGCTGGGCTATCTCCAGCCCATGTGGTTTTTCTCTCCTAACCTCTCATTCAGTCATCTCTGAAGTTTGTCTGCCACTTCACAGTGTACAAGGCACTTCTGTGCCCAGTCCCTTGATTCTCACTTGCCTGCACATGAAGAAACTGAGGCCCGTCCAGGGTGTAATGAATGTAGGGGATGGTAATTGTGACCTCCCAGAGCTGTGGTGAGGTAGAAATGAGTTTAAAAGTATAGAACACACTCCTGCAAACTGTAGAGTGCCAGGCTTTCGTTACTGTAGTTGAGACTGGTTGCTGGGGCAGTTGAAGAGGGATTTAAAGAAATGGAATTGTTGTGCAACCAGGATTCATTTGGGACCTGGCCGAGTTGCAGCCCCAGAGTCCTCAGGCCTGGAACTAGGGCGGCAGAGCCCCTCAAGCGCCCTTGGTCCCAGTTGACCCTGTACTGGCGCGTCACAGAGGCCCCTTCCCAGCACTGCCCCCTGACTGCCCAGGCTAGGGGAGAGATATAGGAAGGGGGATCAGGGGTGTCTGATCACTCTGGCAGCCAAGGGTGACATCGAGCAGCCTTGCCTGCCTGCTTCTGCGCCAGCCTCAGCAGATGGGGACAGTCTGGGGAGAAGTAAATAAAACGTTCTCATGGTGAAAAGCAGAGAAGCTGCAGAGGAGCCAGGACCCCCTCACCAGTTCCAAGTTTGGTCAAGTGTCTGTTCAGAGTGTGTGTGTGTGTGTGTGTNTCTCATGGTGAAAAGCAGAGAAGCTGCAGAGGAGCCAGGACCCCCTCACCAGTTCCAAGTTTGGTCAAGTGTCTGTTCAGAGTGTGTGTGTGTGTAAGAAAGTGTGGGTGGGTGTGTAAAAGAGCTTGTGAGACTGTGTGTAAGAGAGGGAGAGCATGTGTAAGAGAGCAAGCATACGGGTGAGTATGTGTCAGAGAGAGCAAGTGTGGTGTGTGTGAGAGTGAGCACGTGTGTGTGTGTGTGTCCCCAGTACCCTCAATTGCCCAACTGCCACCTGCACTGGACAAAATAAGAAACCTCTTCCTTCCCCCAGCCTCTTCACCTAAAAGGGGAGCCAGCACCGAACTGTATCAGGTTTGCCCTGTGGCTTGGAGATGCTGAATTCTGCACCTCCTATCCTTGCTCTGGGAGCGCTGGACACCCTCTGCAGAAAGCCTTGTGGTTTGAGAGATCACTGGACTTGGAGCTTCATGGGCTCTCATGGTAGAATCGGTCACGTGACCAATAACAGGTCACTGGTTCTCTTTGAGTCTCAGTTTTCCTAACCACGTAATGGAGGATTTGTATGTTTTTCACAGTCTGTTTCAGCTCTCACAGCTCCAGATCTGATTCTAACTGAAGCTCTCCCATCCCTGATTCCATGCTGGTGACATCACTACTGCTATAAGTTTGTACCTTGGAAGTTTTGCCTCATTTTTTGGCATCCTGGGATCTCGCCTCAATGCTGGGCCTTTGTCAGGGGACCAGGGGCCCAACCATGCCCCTTTCATCACACCTGGTGTCAGCACATTTCCTGTGCTTTGAGGAGACATTTCAGGGACACAGGATGTTTTGAAGTCAGGAGAATGTACATGATGGCTTTGGGGTCCTCTCCTGTCCTAGGATGAAGATGTGTTCTTTTTCCCCCAACATGTTTTGAGTGGTCCTTTGCACTGTGCCAAGGTTCTCGGCCTAGATAGTATTTTGAATTGTAGCTATTCTGACACTACCCAGATCAGTACCTGAGAGTAAGAGGGGCTTTGGACATGGGGAGGGATGTTTCTCCTCCTTCACAAGGATCTCAGGGGTAATGAGAGCAGAGACTTGGTTAGATAGGCAGTTGGGAATTACGTGGGTAATTGCCCAGCCGTGTGCATTTTCAAATCAGTAGATACTTGAGCACCTGCTATGTCCCCAGCCCTGGGAATATAATTATAAACAGATATGAAATCTGCCTGCTCAGAGCTTTTACCTTGAGCAAAGTGCCATACCCTCTTAACCAAGCTGACCCTGGGGTTGTGGTACCCAACATATCGCTAGATGCCCAGGCCTTCATCCACCCCCCACATCCAAAAACAACCCAAAAACTCAGAGGGAACTTGGGGCCAAACCTGGCATTGAGAGAAGCTGTCTCTGAAGGAGATTTTTGCTACCTCCCAGCTCTGGGTTTAAAGCCCCAAGGTGGGCCACTGCAGAGCGGCCTGCTGCTGCTGGCTGACCAGGACCCAGCTTGGGGAGATGGTTGGTGGGTCTCAGGCTGAGGGGCATGTCCAGGCCTTGGTAGGGAGAGAAAACTGGAGGGGTTGACTTACAGAATTGCAGAGTTTGATGGGAGCTGGGGGAGGGGGTCTGCCCCTGGAGTTTGTCCTGGTTCTGCTACTGATTTGCTCTTGTGACCATGGACAAGTCCTTTCACCTTTTTGAGCCTCAGTTGCCCCATCTTTAAAGTAGGTGGGGTTGGGCTAGAAACAGGGTGGCAAGTAGGTTTTGTCTCACATGCAAAACTGACTGATTGCTGTTGACTTCTTAAGCAGCTCTCTGGGCTCAGCAGGAAGCGCGCACATCTGGGATTGGAGGTTGCTGCATGCATTCTGCAGGTTTCAGACCTCAGGTGGCATGGTCCTCGCACTGCATCCTGCACTGATACTCTTTAACTCTTCAGTGCTTCTATCTCCTGTGTCACTTCTCCACCAGCCTGTGGTCTGCCTTCTGCTTAAACACCTTCATGATGGGGAGCTCACTGTCTTCCCTCAGACAGAGTTGTTAGATTGTTATGCCTGGTCTTGAGTTCACATCTGCCTCCTGAACTTGTGCCCAGAATGATGAAAACATTGTCACTTAGCTTATACTGCAACCCTGTGAACCCTGTGTTATCACCTCCATTTTTCAGTGAGAGAGCTGAGGTTAGAGAGTTAAGAGAGTGGCCCCCTGAGACCAAGTCCCCTGTCACCAGCTTTTCCCCATCCTCGACCCTGTCCCCAACCTTCTGTTCTGGCTCCCTACAAGCCCACAGCCTCCCGTTCTCTCGCCCTCCTCAGGTTTCCATGTGATTCCCACTATTTCGAGTATCGTCCCGGAGAGCTGCCTGCTGATCGTGGTGGGGCTGCTGGTAGGGGGCCTGATCAAGGGTGTGGGTGAGACACCCCCCTTCCTGCAGTCGGACGTCTTCTTCCTTTTCCTGCTGCCACCCATCATCCTGGACGCCGGCTACTTCCTGCCGCTGCGGCAGTTCACAGAGAACCTTGGCACCATCCTGATCTTCNCCGGGTACTTCCTGCCGCTGCGGCAGTTCACAGAGAACCTGGGCACCATCCTGATCTTTGCTGTGGTGGGCACGCTGTGGAACGCCTTCTTCCTGGGCGGCCTCATGTATGCCGTGTGCCTGGTGGGTGGCGAGCAGATCAACAACATCGGCCTCCTGGAAAACCTGCTCTTCGGCAGCATCATCTCGGCTGTGGACCCCGTGGCCGTGCTGGCTGTCTTTGAGGAAATTCACATCAACGAGCTGCTACATATCCTCGTCTTTGGAGAGTCCCTGCTCAATGACGCCGTCACTGTGGTGAGGGGGTGGGGACCACACCCATATGCACACAGGGCACAGACCCAAGTCCAAGTCCACTCTGGACCCAATCCAAGTCCTGAGTGACCCACATTCACCTGCTAGGAATAGTAATAAAACGGCAAATGTCCATTCGTGCTTACTGTGTGTCAGGCATCATGCTGAGCATGAGACATGGGTGATTTTATTTAATCCTCATGGCAGCCTTAGGAGGTGCTTAGTATTCTCATTTTACAGAAGAGGAATCAGGCCCAAAGTTGTTCAATAACTTGCTAGAATGTGACAGAACCAAGGTTGGAAGCCAGGTCTGTCTGACTCTAGGACCTGAGCTCTTGGCCTTACCAGGTCATATGCTTCATCCCTGACTTGGATTGTGATAAGATCTTGGTTAAATTACTTATCCTCTTTGTACCTCAGTTTACCCTTTATAGACCATTTAGTCTAGAAGGGGCATTTCAGCGTTTATGTTGGCTCTTAAGTTAGAGTTTCATTTGTGCAGAGTTCTAGGGCAGCAGTTGTAGGAAGGGACCTTCCCCCCAACCCCCCAGGAAGTGATTAAGTAAAATGGTTTGGCCCAGTTTGGCCACTTGCTTACTTTGTGACCTTAAGCAAGTGACTGTTCCTCTCTGGGCATTACCTTGACAGCTGCAAAGTGGCAGAGGATTTAGTGCTTTCCTCCCAGGGTCTAGTGAGAACAGACAGCCCCAGCGCAGGGTCGCACACAGCAGCTCCATATATGCTTGCACATGCCCTTCCTTCCAGCCAGTTTCCTCAGGAACGTGTATGTGCAACTCACATTGTGTTGTGGAAACATCCCCCTGCCCCTCCCAGCTGGACCCCTCAGCAGCTGCACACAAAGGAAAACACAAGGACCCGTGTGCACACCCAGTGCATGCTTGCACATGTACTCCCTCTTCTCCACTCTCAGCCCCTCAGGAAGCTGCACCTCAGAGAAGAAACAGGCAGTGGTATTCGGCTGCCAACAGCCACGGTTTCCTCTTCTTCCCCTGCCACCCTCCTCAGCTCCTCGTGAGGCTGGTAGAGCAGCAGCCTGCCTGGAGCAGGCAGGCCTTGGTCCTGGCCCCTTTTAGCACCCCCTCTTGCCTAGGGTCATGCACAAGCCTCAGTTTCTCCATATGTAACTGGGATTGCAGTACTTAGCCTGTCATCCTCCCAGGGTTCTTACAGGAGTCACACTCACTGTCTGAAACCACTGGGTGCCAAACATAAAGTCCTCCCACTGGATCTGGATCTTGGGCTCGAACTACCAGGGGGCAGTGGGGCGTGGTTGTGTTAAGTGGATACCTCAGTCCGGCCATCTTGAGGCCATGGCCACTCCTCACCAGAGTGGTGGCAGTAATCACTGGTGTTCATTGAGCACTTCCTGTCTGAATACACTCCCAGGCTGGGGGCCCTCAGGCAAGTTGCTTCACCACTCTGAGCCTCAGCTAGTGAGGGAGCAGGCATCCTTGGCCCACCTACCTCATAGGGCTGTTGTGCGTCCAGCAGGATGACTATCATCAAAGGTCTGTACAGTGTCTGAAGGGACAGTTAAACATCTGATGATAGTGTTACAATGACTTTATTTCCCAGTACAACGATGTAGGGGAGAGCCTCTCGTTCCATAGCATCTGAAATTGGCTGTTCATCACAACTACTTAGGGAGCTTGTTGAATAGGGATTTCTGGTCCTACCTCTAGAGAGTCCAAGCAGGATTCTCTTGCCATATGTATTTTCAGAAAGTGTTGGAGGTTAAGAAGTCCTGTTGTAGTTCATTGTCTGAATGTTCCCTGCTTTATGCTGAAGGAGGGACATGATCTGCCCAAGATCAAACAGTGAGAGAGGCAAACTGAGCAGTGCCAGTCGCAGCTAACACTGTCATAGGCATTCTGCATTTATGAACTAATTTAATCCTCACAGCAGCTCTGTAAGGTTAGTGCTGTTACCCCTATTTTGTGGATAGGAAAACCAGCACAGGGAGATTGAATAATTTGCCCCATGTGTATGGGAGGGAACAGCAGAGCCAGAGTCCAGCCTAGGCAGGTTGGCTTCAGAGTCTATGCTCGTAGCCAGCATAGCACTGCAGGTGCTAAGCAAGATCCTCTGGCCCTTTGGACAATGGTTCTGAGCACTTGTTTGGGATTCGGGTTTCTCTGTTACCATGTGGCCTCTTGTTTTGGCCATGGTCATTAAAGGGGACAGGATCACCCTGGTCTGACCCCAGGAAGCCTTGGGGCAGGACCTCGCCCTCCTGCCGACCACCCTGTATACCTTTTCCAGGTCCTGTATCATCTCTTTGAGGAGTTTGCCAGCTATGACCGTGTGGGCATTGTGGACATTGTCCTCGGCTTCTTGAGTTTCTTCGTGGTGTCCCTGGGTGGGGTCTTTGTGGGCGTGGTCTACGGAGTCATCACAGCCTTCACCTCCAGATTCACTTCCCACATTCGTGTCATCGAGCCGCTCTTCGTCTTCCTCTACAGCTACATGGCCTACCTGTCAGCTGAACTCTTCCACCTGTCCGGCATCATGGCGTGAGTCTGGGCTTGGCATGGGGAAGCCACCCACTTGGATTCCCTGGGATCGTAGGGTCACAAGGGAGCTCTCCAGAGCTCAGCCTCCAACTCCAGGGAGGAGACTCAAGCTCCATCCTCCAGGCCCTGGAACCACCCCTGGAAGCACTGAGTTTAAAGTTCTGGGAAGTCTAGCCTCACTACTTCTTTCCCTCATTTGTCTCAAAGGCAACCCCTTGGTTGTAGCTGGACGCAGGCACTCGGGTTGCGTTTCCCTCAGCAGCCCCAGCAAGGAGGCTCGAAGCTTCTATTGAAGTGAGGAGTCCTGGAGGTCCTGAGGCCTCAGCTGGGTCTTGAAGTCAGAGACAGTGAGGTGCAGAGTTATTCCCAGTAGGGGAGGACTTTGGAAGTGCAGAGGTAGGGCTGGATTGGAGGACTCAGGGTGAGAATGAGAAAGCTGGGCCAATGGAGCCCAGATGTGGGAATAAACCCTGGGCCATGGCAGGTGTAATTGAGTCCTGTTAGCCAAAGAGGCAATATGGCATCAGGGACAAGGCACAGGCTTTGGAGTTGGCCAGGCCTTAGTTTGTGTCTTAGCTCTGTCACTAGCCCGCAGTACAACAGTGCACAGGAGACTTTCTTTTCCCTCATCTGAAAGATACAAGAATATGCCTGTGCGGGGTTGAGAGGATTGAGTGAGAGCAGATGTAGAAAGCCCCTGAGAGAAGCTCAGTAAACAGGCAGCTGACAGCTTCCCTGGCAGCGGAGGGGCTCTGGGAAGGTGCAGCTCAGCTGTGAAGGCTAAACCCCATTCTTCCCCGACCCCAGACTCATTGCCTCAGGGGTGGTGATGCGCCCCTACGTGGAGGCCAATATCTCCCACAAGTCGCACACGACCATCAAGTATTTCCTGAAGATGTGGAGCAGTGTCAGCGAGACCCTCATCTTCATCTTCCTCGGCGTCTCCACCGTGGCCGGCTCCCACCACTGGAACTGGACCTTTGTCATCAGCACCCTGCTCTTCTGCCTCATCGCTCGAGTGCTGGGTGAGGTCCCCA